CCCCAAAACCCCAAAACCCCAAAACCCCATAAACTTAATATTTACGCTTTTCTAGAAATCAATTTATTTATAAATTAAAAAGAATTATAAACTTCTTTAATGAAAAAATTAATCACAACTTCGGCTATCATTTTTTCAGTAGTAGACTAAGTGACCTCAATTACTTATGATTATTGCTCCTTACCACACTCAGCTCAAGTTCTCGAGCGCATTGACAACTAAGTGCTGCCTATTTACGATAAATTCTCAGTATAAATAAGAAAAGCTTGTCCCTTTAGCGATAAAATACTAACACCTATTAAAGCTTAGGTAAACTCTTTCTAATAGAAAAGAACAATGGGGAACAAAGTTGAATGCCCTAAGTGCAGAAAGAACTTCAAGAACTCTGACTTTTTGGAATTTCATATGAAGTTAAATCATTTTTAGAATGATTAAAGTGGAGCTGTATTTTAAGATTACGGAAGAGGGGAGATGAGAGTCGATTACGGAATATGTCTTGCTGATTACTGTGATATATTTGAATGCAGAGATATAAATGATAGATAATTGAAAACATAAGTTTATATGGACAGAAAAGAGATTCAAGATCCTGTTTAAAGGAAGATTTTGGCGAATGAGCCAGTCAGATACTAAATAGTTTCTTATCTAACTTAAGAATCTAAAGAAAGGCTAGAGTCTCAATGCACCAGCCTATTTATGAATTGCATTGATTTTGATTTGACTACATAAGCAGATGCAATTCAAGCTTTCGACATGCTTTATAGCATTTACTGCAAAAAGTTCGCTTATATAGACAGAGATTAGGAAAAGCGAAATGAGGAAAAAGGTGAAGGTATCGATAAAGTGCTAGAATAGCTATCTATAAACAAGGCATTTGAAAAGCGTGATAAGAGCAAGGAGGTCTGGAACATCATCAAAATAATTTGTGGAATTTTCACAGTCATCTTGATTATTCTTTACTATACAGGCGTCTATTTCTCCATCTTTGATGAAGATGCCTTATCAGATAAAAAACGTAAATATGAGAATCAGACGAAAGCGACCTATGTTAAGAACAACAAGATACACTCCCAATGATCTTAAATGGTGCTCACGAGGCTAATGACTGTTAAATTTATTTTAATTTGTGTTATTGTTTGAGAGTTAATTGATAAATTAAATTTTAGTGAGAATGTATTAAAAGTTGATGATAAAGTTTAATTGATAAATTTCCAAGTATGATAATTTAAGATAGAATGTTCTTGCAATTAATTTTAAGGTAGAGCCTATAAAAGCCTAGGATTCCCTGCAATATTTTATTTAAATTTATAAATTTGTTTGGATTCTAGACACATGAAAGAGTAAAATATGAGTGAAGTTAATTTATCTAGTCTTTAATCGTAAATAACATACACCGAGGAAAGCTCCCTCTCCGTCACCGAGCCAAAATCTCAGCGTGGAAGAAAGAAGAGCGCTCAGTCAAAAGTAAATAAAAAAGAGAGAAGGTAAGATACATCATTATCGTCGGACGTAATCATAATTTTTGCTTTGCATAGACTGATGCAGAATCGTGTAAGTGCCTTCAGATTCAGGATAAAGAGAAAGCAAGAGTACGAATTACTCAAGGATTAGGTAACCGCACTTGCCTCCGAAAATGAGGCGCTTAAATAATAGGTAAGTAGTACTGTCTAATATAAGATAGCAGCAATCCTTATATGCAAAAACTAAGAATATGATTTAAGCTAATATCATGATATAGGTTGCGTAGATGAGAGTGATAATCGAGTCAAACATCAGAGAAATGAACAAACCAGCCCCCTAAATTCCTACTGGGCAAAATAGCTACACTGCTGTCCTCCTGCATTAACTACAGAAGCTTCAAGGAGAGATCGGTTAATACCAATAGCTAACAGGATTCAATAGATAATAACAGTAGCTTTTGGCGACTTCTCTAATCAATCCGACCCAAACTTTTGTCAGTAACGACTCAACTACCATCCACTCCAACTCTTCCTCTCCTATTTTGAAACCAACAAATGATAATAATATGAACGTAAATTCAAGCGTCCCTTAGCATATCTATTAATAATCAAGGTTTCCATAGAACCCGTTGATCCTTGTATAAAACACCCAGGATTTAAACTAAACTATGTTCAATGCTCTTTAAAAGAGTATTAATCCGATGTTCTCCGGCTAACAGCCTCAAATGGGAGCCCATTCTCTTTTGAACGAGGCTCTCCTTAAGGCTTTAAGCAAACAATAATGATATTAAAGACTTGTAATTGACTCCCTAATATCAAAGTGAATTTAAAGATTGCGTGATCTCAAATAACGATATTAAGATTAAATTTTCCATACATATTCTTATTAATTTCACCGCGCTCTCAATCAGACGGGGTTTTGGGGTTTTGGGGTTTTGGGGTTTTGGGGTTTTGGGG